GAGTTCAATTGCGCCAGCGCCAGAAGGCGTCAAATGTTCTGGCCGTTTTGAGCCCAAGCGGCTTGCTCAGGGAGGAGAGGCCCTGCTTGCCCCATGCACCCGGCAAGAGGGCAGCCACCTGCCGCCCTGGGGATCGGGAGCAGTGGCCCAGGAGGCTGTGGTGAGTGAGGGCTCTGAATGCCGTTTGTATGAGTTTAAATTAAAGGGTTACATATGAACGTGGGGTGTACTTGATCAGTTTGGGGGATTGGCACTGGTCTGCAGGGTAAACCTTTGGGGGCTTTGAAGTCAGTGTGAGTGTTGGGGAGGAAAGGGTAACTCTTCTGTCTTGGTGGCATGCAGAAGTCATATTTAGTATGTTTTTCACCCGTCCACAAGCACGTACTTACCGTGGCCTAGTCTATACACACACGTTCATTCCCACTCCACCTTAACTTTAGATCTTACTTTGGGCTAACGAATTCAGGTCATGCAAAATGCTATGTGCAAGCAGTTAAGACTGGTTTTGTCTGTGCAGTTCATGTCAGACTTGCACAAGGGAAGACATTTTTGATAGACATGTCATTGTGCAGCATTTGTTCCATTTATGCTACTGCATCTTGGTGTTGCTGTAGACCAATTGGAGTCTGCTTGCTCTAGAGCTGCAAGTTAAATTTTGGAGTTTTTTTTTTTTGGAGGGAAAAGGTAACAAAAGAAGTAAACACTGAATTACTACTGATTGCGCAGCCTCTGCTAGCAAATTCGGAACACTTTAAGTGTCCTCATACTTCCATCGTTGAGCACCACTCTGAAGAACTATCGTGTAGTGCAAAGCAAGCTTATAGACATGTTCACACAGTTAATTTTGTATAAAATAATTGTTAAGGTAGTTCTACAGTAGCAATGTGCTTCTTTCCAGGAATGACACTTTTTCATAGACTTAGGCCTAAGTAACTACGTTGATGTAATTTCGAAGCTTGCACGTATACAAATTTACATATAGGCTTACTCCACTTGAAGCCAATGGCTTTTGTTCTGTTCCAGATGGTCAGATAAGTACAGGTTGGGGGCAGGGGGAGGAGGGCAGGAAGCAGAGAAGAGGGAAACTGCCTGCTAGTTGTCCAACATTCACTATTTTACAAAGGGTATCCAAAGTTCATAAATTTGGGGTAACATAGCTTTAATGCAAGAATTTAATTACTATTCACTACAGAACTGGTGAATGACAGATATTTGACATAGCCATTGAGAAAATGTAATAGGTATCACAAATAAAGATATACTGTCCTAGGCAATGTCCTAGGAATCAGAAAGTGGCTTAGCACTTGGATAAAACTGTTGAGGCATCCTCCTGTGGTGAATGTAGATTCCCCAAGTGCAGTTTGAGTTTTTAAGCAGTTTTCACCTACCATGCAATTTTAGACTACTTGGAGAATGCTAACTTGGAAGGTCATGTAGGTCACTTTCTTGAGTCTGTGAAAAGTCAGGTAAATGTCTTTATGTGATCAGGAACTCTAAGGTACATAACTCATACCTTAGAAGCTATTGAGAGGGAGAATGTCAGGACTAGTTCAGGTAACAGTGACTCCCAGAACACCTCCCTCAATTGTGGAAAAGGCTCTGTGTGGAAGCCTTAGTTACTCTGGCTTCACCAAGTTATTCTTGCTCATTTTTTCCCATAGCCAGAGTTTTAGGTTATCCAGTGAAATCTGTGCCAACACAGCTTTCTCTTAGTTATATGAAGTCGTCTTAGTTTGGCGGCCACAAGTCAAGAGGCTCTAGCTGGCTTTACTTGTGGAACACAGTGCAGTTTTGGGCAGATTGTGGAAGAAGGTGAGGGAGTAAGGAAATATATATGGACAATAATTTTTCATTTTGAGCATGGATACAGCGATGCCTAAATGTATTTAAAATTCATTTGAGCTGGTTTTGAGAACAGATGTTTAAGAGTACAGACAAGAAATCAGAAATGACTGAATTACTGTGACCTAAAGACTTCTTGCTTGTTGGCCTGTATGTGGTAATGGTGTGCACCATTAGCGCAACTCATCTGCTAGTTTGCTTCCATTGCAAAGGAGGAGGAGTCAATGTGCTGGCATGCATGCCTCACAAGACGTGTTCAGAAGGAAACAAAGAAAAATCATAGATGTATGAGTGGGTGTCAACAGTTAGTGAAGCTTTGGGATTCTGTCTGAAACAAGCAGCTGGCTTTCATTCAGGCTTACCTAGTATGGCCACTAAGTGTAACCTAAACATACTATTATCCCTGTCAAGATAGGGCCTGTAAGCTTTTTTGCTCATCCGTATTCCTAATGTTCTTTATACACGTTGGAAGGACAAAGTCCTAGGTTCTTTGATAGGAATGTATTGGTACAGGAATCAAAAGAGGAGCTGTTTTTTAAAAAACAACATTATCTTTGCTAAATCTCTGATACTTAAATCATTCCTCCTCCAGATTCTGGAAAACCGAAGGCAGTGCTGGACAACTATAGCTCTACGTTTAAGTATTGTGGCAGTGAATTACTGTGCAAGAGAGAACATTCCAAGTGAGTCTCAAAATAGAATGCAGTTAAGTAAGTAAGTCCGCGAATTTAGCATTATATGGAATCCTGAGTTCAGCCCTTGCCTTAAAATATCTGAAGGCTGTTTTCTTCAGCCCTCATTTTGTTAACTCATGCCCTACACTCAATTAACATTTTAGAAAAGTAAAACGAATAAAAGGGATATCAGTAGTACTGACTAAGATGCCTTTGATTGTTTCTTTTCTTCAAGTTGTATTATCAAAACCTTTGTCTCAAAGAGCTCAAAAAAAAAACCCGCTATGATTTCCATTGTTCTAGATAGTGCAAAATCCTTAGTGCTCCGGAATCCTTAAGCACATTACTGAACTCTTTAGAAAAATATCCAGGAAATACCCTAGCAAAATCTAGGATATTTCTTAGAGTAGGTCTAACTAGTTGTATATATTGCCTGAGGAAGAACATGACTTGATTAGGTGATGCCTTTAGAAATTAAGATTAAAGACGTGAAGAACATCGGACAAGTGTTATTATTATTTTACTTTCTACTAGTAAGACTCTACTGGGCAAAAGTAAAGTAAAGTTTTTATTTAAGCTGCTAGTTAATCTTGCTTGCTTGAATCTGTGATGTTTTCTAGAGGGTCAAGAATGTATAGACATGTTTGGGTGGGAGCTAAATGAAACTCTTAGGAAGAAAAAAAATAGATGCAATTTTACTTGCACTGTGCTAGTGGGTGAGTGGAGGCAGAGCACTGGTAGGGCAGCCCACTCTTTGTAGGCACAGAGCAAGCTCTACAAATTAGTGAGGTTTTTGGTTAGGTAGGGGAAAAGATAAGTTAATTTTTCAAGTAATATTGATATCTGTTGAAGGAAATACTTTTCTTTCTTCTCTCTCTCACACTTTTTTTTTTTTTAAAGACTTGTGAAGGAGGAATGCTGAAATTCACTACTAAAGCCTACTTTATGATAGAATTTTCTTTAAGTCTTTTTGCTTAGGAACAAAGACAAGCCTGTAAGGGAATTGTAGTCCTGACGTTAGTTTCAGAAAAAAACCAACTTTTCAATGAGAGAAGCCTTTTTTCTCTCTGATTTCTAGATACAGTAGTATTCTTCTTCTATTCCCATAGTTGTCCTTCTAGGTTGGCTCCTCTGAAGAACTTATGAGATCATGAAGCAATCAGACACAGGAAAAACAAATGGCAAAATGCATATATCTTTACCCTTTTATTTCTTTATTTCAGTCTGGAGATGTTGAAAAATTGTATATTAATGAGAATAACACTTTTTGCCTTCCTGTTTTCCTCAAATCATTGTGAGGATAGGAGAATGCTCTACTCTAAAGAGCTTGCAATTCTAATTCTTGCAATAGATTTAGAAGGAAAGATGTCTAGGTCAGGTTATAATTTGAGATTAAAAAAGACACTCATATAATAATCTTTTTTAGACGAGCAGCTTGTTGTTATTTATTAAAGAAAATGCCAAATGGGAAAAAATGAAATGTGTGGATGATTTTAATGTGTTTAGCTTGAGGATGTTGTTTCTTTTATTGAAAACTTGCTTCTACCATAATATCACATAAAAGTTAGTCTGAGTGAAAGAAGGATAATTTCTTAAAGGGTATTCCATGTAGAAAGGGTTCCTGAGAGAGAACTTGAGAGCTCTGAGGCTGTTACTGATGTGCCGCTGACAGTGCAGAGAACAAGATGGTGACATGTCATAAAACAGAAAACGAAAATGACTAAGTAAGTTCATTTAGTTTGTGTGGTGCCTGCAAATTTTGCCTAGTTTTAAACTATTTCTTTATTACTCTCTTAATTACATAACTGCTCATGCAACTTTTCTGTGAATTACTGTGATGTAATCATAGTCTTGCTACCAATTGCTACACACTTTCTGGTTAAAAATTGTCTTCTGTATTTACATACTATAACCTAGGGCTAGGTGTAGGCATGTTATCATGCAGCAAAGTAGGCAGATGCCATGAGGAGTAGAGTGCAACAGATCTGATCTTACTATCTATATGATTAATCCCAAACCCTGGGAAGACTTGCAGTCAGTGAGAAAAGAGTGCTGGAGGGGAAGGAGGCTTATTCCTGTTCTTGCCTCCTGGTTCTCTTTTCCCTCATTTTCTTATGAGGGAAACTTTAACTTGCTGCAGTTAATTTTACTGGAACTCTGTGGAGAGTCAGTCTTACCTATGCAGAACCAACTGTAAGATCAGACTTCATTTCTTTAAAGGAGATCAACTTGGATTATTTGAAGTAGTAACAAAAGGCTATATGTCTTTACATTAAGGCTATGATCCTACAATTGGATCAACATGATGGATCTTTACACCTATGCTAAGTCCCAGTGATGCTAATTAAACTTGATTATAGGATCAAGCTTAGCATATTCAGTGTTGTTTCTGCAATGAGCTCTGCACAGATGGGCTCTTGTGCCTTTATTGGATCCGCTGAGGTGAACAGGGCCTGATGCAGCACTTGCAATAACATCAAGGCCTTGTTTTCTAAGAATCCAGGTAAGAGATCAGTACAACCAAGATATAGCTTTATATAGTTCCTGTTCTAATTTGTTTTATTTCTGTCAATTGCAAGCACATTAATACAATTGCTGACTAATCTAAAGTATCCTAGATGATTACAAAAATAGCGTAAGACGTGTTCAAGAGTGATTCAAAATATGTTATCCTCTTACGAAGAAGACTGGCTTTCTGAAGAAATTTACGTGGGTGTAACCTAGGATTGCTAAGAATAGACATTAGAAAATTGTAACTCTGGAGATAATTGAAGCATTTTCATGTACTGCTGTAGGGTGTGGAACTTTCCATGATTCTAGGAAAATCGGATTCCTACAAAAGGCTTTGCAAATATAAAAACAGAGAGTTTGAGGGTCACAATATAGCTGAAGTCTCAGTCTGCATTTGGAGGAAAGGGAAGTGTGTTGCAAAGGGTGAGTCAGACATGGGAATGTCCAGAGAAATCTCTGCTGAGTTCTGCTCTAAAGGCTGCTGCAGGGATGCCCCTGCTACATGCTTCTGAGGTGGGATTTGACCTGCCTTTGGAAAGCCTGCTGCTGCCAGCAGTACTCTAGCAGACTGCAGATTTGCAGGCAGCTCCTAGCAGGGCAAAAGAAAGGCAAGAGGTTGTGTCCCTTCTCTGCTGCATCATGGTACTGACGGTCTAGTCTCACCATGTATCGTGGAAGTTGATGAGTGTATGACTTGCGAACTTTTTGTTGACTTCATCCAAGTTTAATTTGCTCTTCTGAAATCTGTGGCAAAGATGGACAGAAATGGGAACTTAGTCCTTTGCCTAAAACCAGGTATAGCTGCGATGCCAAGTCTGGTGATGTAGTGTCCACACATCAGCGCTTTCTTTACCTTTAATATGTTTGTGGCCCTTATAAACAGCTTTGCCAAATGATCCTGAAACAGACTTCATCAGACACTCCGTCTTAGATGGTAATGATTTTTGGTCATGATTAGCTTGATGGCTGTTCTTTTCTTTCCATATCTTTATCTCCTTTCAGAGACAGTAGCCTGCATATGTAACTCTGTCAGGTATTGAAGTCCTAAATAATTATTAACTTGTACTTAGTATGCAGTGTGTCTGAATTAAAAGGCTAGATCTATCTTCAACTAATGAACGCTTAAAACAAGAGAGTTACCAGGCAGGTTTATGGCTAGCTCTAATTGCATTCTCCCTTCTCAGCAAGCAAAAGGTGCCTTACATTCTTGTATGCCTGCAGTCCTTGCTCTCCTGGGGCTGACACCGGTAGTTGAGGGCTTCTTCCCCAAGAGAGAAGAGAGCTAATAAGAATTTTCAGAGAAACTGACAATTGCAGCAAATAATATCAAGACAAAGACACATTTGAAAGAACTGTAGTACCGATACCAGATATGTTACTGTTCCCCTTCTTTCACTCATCTTCCTCCCAAATTCTTGTATTCTCCTGCTATGACAAACAAACTTGCTGTTGTTTAATTTAGCGCAGCTTCAGAGATGCTTTGATTCACGTTTTGCTGTGGTTTGAACCCTGTGGTTCAGAAAGAGCTTGTTATAGTGTTATCGATATGCACTCCTAATACACTGTTGTCTAACCATAAGTAAGGAAGTTAAGAGTAGTATCTTCTTTTTTTTTTTCCTTCCCTCTTTTTGAGTTGATGACTATAATAGGGGTGGACACAGATATTAATCAAACACATTCTGTTTGGGATACCTTTTTAGCTAGCTATAAGTGAAACTTTGACACATCTTCACTACGTTCAAAGACGTTTTCTCTTGTGTGAATAAATCCACTGGCATTTTCATCTTTGCCTGAGAATACACACAATATAGAACGGCTTAGATGAGAATTCTGTAGTGGAGACTGGTTGCAAGTTAATTATGGAGTGGCTCCTCTAACTGGAAAGTGAAATGATTAGCTATCTGATAGAGCAGCAACAGTTAAATTCTTGTGCTTCTCTTGATTTGCTTAGGTACATAGATGACAGTGATTTTTTTTTATTCTGTAATTCGTTTTCTTGTAAACACTTAATGTCACAGTTTAGCCTGTTTTTAGGTTGTAGAGCAAACACTGGATGTCTAAAGGACTAAATTAAATTATTTTGGATTAAGTAGCTTCAAGGTATCTTGAGGTATATACTTTGAAATCTCAAGCAGTCAAGATGGCCTTAGATTTAAATTTTTTATTGTAATCACTTAATGAAACATACCAATAGAAATATAAGACATTTTCAAGTTGTTTTGCTGCCTAGGAGGTAGCTTGTAATCAGGGAACTTGTTTCTTCTTTGAGAGAAAAATGGGGCTAGAAGCTACTGAAGAACATATAGAAAAATGTTTTAGAGTCTTGATCTGTTCTCTCTAGCTACACTGTCTAGCTACACTGTCTCTCTAGGTACACTGTACCTTGTGGACAGCCAGAAGCAGACACTGAGGTGATGTTAATGGAGGAGAAGGCCAAAGTATACTGGGTTTGTATTTGAAATGTGGTAACCTGGATTTTCTTTACGTTCATTTAGCTCTTCACTTGTTGCAACGTTAACATGTAA